GATGCATACGACGTTCTCCCCGAAACGCGAGAGTAGTCGCAGCGCGCGCCCGGCTCACGCCTGCGATCTACATTTCCCTCGGGTTTCATTTGTCACGGAGCAGCTTTGTTTTGTCAAAGCCACGACTCCCCCGCCGACGCAGCAGCGCCAGGATGAGCCGGCTCCGTTCCCCGGCTCCCGCGGAAATTATGACGGGGAAAAGAAGCGCTCAAAAATGAAAAACGCCCCCTTAATATCCTCCCCCGATAAGAACACCTTGCCTCTCTCCCTATTTTTCACGGCGCCGCTTTCCGTTTCAATTTGCGACGACATCGCATCGCATCGGTCCCGGCCGCCGGGCGAAGATCAAAGGAACTTGTCTTCGCCCGAAGGACCTATATCCATCCTGACGTGAGCCCTAAGATTCATAAGAATACACGCATGACAGGGCTCACGTCAAAATGGGCGCAGTTCCTTTCGGTCTGAATGCGTCCGAGTCGTGGCCCAGTTCGAGCGAGGAATACAAAAGAAGACTCTTATCGAATGAGCCCACACATGGGCGTATTTAAATCGAAAGGGACTATCTGTGTTGTGGGATGAGCCTTGAGACCCATTAGGATACGGGAGGAACACGTCACGATGGAGATAGTTCCATTTGATTTAAAAACGTCCACATAATACGGGTGCGAGGAAGAATACTTAGTGGACTCTGATGTATGGAGCTTCGTGCTCGTGGAAGAGCTTTTTTGGGAGTGCACTTATGAGGTTTTGCACCGAAAAGGCGCTCGATTCATCCGTGAGATTGGGTCGAGGAGATTTGACCCAGAATTTCGCAGGATGGAGTTCTCGCATGCAGCGGGGGTTTTCGATTTGATGATTTACTCGTCTGTGAAATTTCGTAACGGCACTATGCTGCCGGAATGCACTGATTTTTCTCTAAAATCATCCTCCAAGCTTTATACCAAACCTCTTAAGTTGTACACTGTAAAAAATCGAGGGGTGAAATTCGGTGCAGGACTCTGTACATAATGCGCCCAAAAATACTGAGGGATAAAAGTGCGAAGTGAAATTAGCACCATGAAAGCGTATGACACACTAAGAAAAAAACACATTGGATCTAGAGTTCAGACTCTTGATACGACGAGAAAAAATACTCTTGATTCAATTTTACTTGAATTACGTTTACGATTTTTACTTGAATCAAAACGAAATCCGCCTAAATTAAGAGGCTTGGTTCTTGATTTAAGCTAGATTCTGATTGAATCAAGAGTTCTTTTTCTTGTCGATGTTTTTAAGAGTCTGGACTCTAGATCCAATGTGTTTTTTTTTTCCAGTACACTCCGCAAAAAGAGTATATTCCACTCCGTAATAGTGTAAGTCATTCCGTAAAAAGAATGGAATCCGCTCCGAATACGTATCGCTGATCGGGATTTTTTTGCGCTGTACAGACTGCGACACAGAATTTCACTCCAAAATTTTTAACAGTGTATAGTAGAGAAGCGGGAGTGCTCTAATATAAAGTTTGCGTCCAATTCTAGTCGAAATTTGAATTTTTGCATATGAATTTGGAACCCAAAAGACAAGGTTGCATCCTACGAAGATAAACCTCAAAATGCTTTTAATTCTGTAACTTGTTGAACTAAAAGTCAACATTCGCATTCAGCGTTAGTGCACCTACATATGAATACTGCATTACATATTGTTTCCACGCTCGATGAAATAACTCAATATTCCAGTGGAATATGAAAGCTTAACCCCAGTTTACAAAACATTTTTAAAGTATTCACATAATATCAAAAATTTAAGCCAATGCTTATCTATTTCCAGCGTAGAGAGGACGGTGTTTCGTAACTTGCCCCTTGATGCATCTATACGTACGCGTAGGATATTTGAAGTATAACCAACCATTTGAAGGCGCATTTTCTGCCGATGCCTTCTTTGAGCCTGAATTATTTACTACTTCTTCTTTACATAAACTCATTCTTTCATCACTCGCATGTATTGTGCAGCTTGTACGTAATAAGTTGAGAGACTTGTCTGATTTTATCTTTTATACCAAGAAGATTTAGTCTAAAAAGGTCAAAATTTGCGCCATGCTAGATTCTTTTGCTAATTCTCAGATTTTCGTACGCTCTTCCTAAAAATATCCTTGATCCGGTAAAGAACATTTTATATAGATCAGGAGGATACTAATCGCTATCCCCCCTCTCTCTTTCTTAACAGTAGAAATTAGAATCAATTATAAAATACAATTATTTCAGAACCATAAGTTATATGCAACTGACACACAGACCTAATAAACGGACATTCACAAACTATCAAGTAATTTTCCGAACTGATTTTATTCAACATGAAAGTGTTTGATGGAGTGCTATAAATCTAACGGGCGTGGACTTGTATATAGTTTGCCACTGAATAATTTGAAACCAAAATTAGATAATAAACTTGAACTAATGAAAACAGCTTAAGTTATAATGAAATACAGAAAACAGAATAGAAGGAGAAACCTTTTGGCATGCAGATAAAAAATTTGGCATTTCAGTTACACGAGAGAGAATTCTTTACCCCCTTTTTTCAATTGAAGCGGTAGAATTTTTATACTTCAAGATCATAAGTGAAATATGCTCTAAATTCCCCTATTGAACAGCAGTGCGGTGCCCTTTAATCATTCAATTTTTATCATTACAAAGTCAAAACGATTTCCAAGAGAGATAGAGTAGAGGCAGATTAATTCTTCCTGACCACTCCGGGCTTACATTTTCCCACAACTCTTTCTTCGCTCGTATCTTCATAATATATGAGTCTCCAAATTTCACATTCTTACGCAACTGCTTCCGCAATGTTCTGCTTAAGCAACATGCAAATTCAGTAAATCAGCAGTTGTTCATTTAATCGGACGCGAGTTAAAGTAAAAGAATGTTTTTTTTAATGCATAAACAAATTACCTTCTAAGTCTGAGCTGCTTGTCCTCGGAGAAAAAATAATTGGTGCTCAAAGAATGCTCCTAGTAATTTCCAGACCGGCCTTACTTTTCCTAGATAGATGCAGTAATATTATTGTAGTAAAAAATAGTCTGGTCGCGACATTAGTTTTTCGAGTCCAGTAACATTTTTGCCGGGACCAATATAATTGTTGATGTCGCAGGTAAAAAGTCAAATCAGGCATTTCAAATCAGGCAAATGCCAAGGCAAATTGTCAAATGTTCTAACTTAAACTGAAATTCCGTTTATTTTGCTAACCACGGACCAAATATTTCTTTAATCATGTGGGAAATAATTCTCTGTAAAAACGAAGTTTTTTCTGATCCTGAAACGAACAATCATCTCAAAATATGCAGAATTTTGTGAAGCATTGAGTTTCTTACAATTTGAACGGTTTAAGATGTGCAGTTTGTACTTTGATGTATTTTTACCCTCAAAATTTCGGCGATTTGAGAGATCTTTGTGAAAGCCTACAAATCCTTTCACACTATAACAATTTGACTATTTGCTTAGGCATTTGTTAAAAATGCCTGATCTGATTATTTGCCTGCGACATTGACATAAAAGCAACATTGCACCTGCATCTAGGAAAGCAGGTAAACCTGGAATCCAGTTTTAGCATTTTAAGAGTAGCGATTCATTTTCTTCCGTGTTGAACCGAATCGTCCCTATTCATCCATTGCCATATTCATCCAATGCGCCAGTTACGTTGGCAACAGAATCGTGCTTTGATGCTTGGTTCTTGTAGATTACCTAAAAATAAGATCTGCCCGAACGGCAACTGTCTGCGTTGGATATTAACCGAGATGTCGTCCTTTGAATAGTCGGGTTTTTGACGTCATCCACCGCAGAGGTGTATAACATGGTTCGTACTACCACGTTGGAAGACGTCGTAAATCGAGTTTTTCAAGGTGCGATATCTCGGTTAATATTCAACGTTGAAAGTTGAAGTTTGAACAGATCTGAAAATTAGTTAATCTACAAGAATAAAGCATCCAAACACGATTCTGTGATCAGCGCAACTGACCCATTGGCCGAAATGACCAGCCACCAAAAGCTCCGCGGAGATCTGCGACATCCCCTCAGCCGTCACGCTGATTGGACGATTGGCCTCTGTCGAATGTTAGTTTAGGTTCCTCCTGAACTCACTCTAAGTGTCTTCCTTTGCCTCTTCCGTGGGTCTTGAACCAGCCGCTAGAAGCTCCGTGGAGATCTGCGACGGAGGAGGAGCGTGGAGGTCAAGCCATCACGCTGATTGGACGATCCGCCTCTGTCGCATCGTTTGAATGTCAGTTAAGGTCCCTCCTGAACACTCCAAGTGTCCTCTTTGGCCTCTTTCGTGTGTCTCGCACTCCCGTCAGTTAGGGTTCCTTCTGAATTCACTCCTAGTGTCTATGGCCTCTTCCGTGGGTCTTGCGTTCCCGTTAGTTAAGGTTCCTCCTGAACTCACTCCAAGTGTCCTCCTTGGCCTCTTCCGTGGGTCTCGAGCTTCCGTTAGTTAAGGTTTCTCCTGAACTCACTCCAAGTGTCCTCCTTGGCCTCTTCCGTGGGTCTCGAGCTTCCGTTAGTTAAGGTTTCTCCTGAACTCACTCCAAGTGTCCTCCTTGGCCTCTTCCGCGGGTCTGGCGCTCCCGAAGAGGTCCTTGGGCTCGGCAGCCGGCGCGGTCGGGCTCGGCGCTGGGATGGGCGTGATCTTGCACATGAGTTTGAGCGGTTTCGCGGCCGCCGGCTTGCAGCCCGTCTTACAGCCGCTCTTGTGGTTGGACGGACACGACTGGAAGATGAAGGACTGCGGCTGCGTCTGACACGGCTCCTGGCGCCGCTCGCGCTGCTGGCACGGGTTCTGCTCGAGCGGGCGGCAGATGAACTTGTTGGGGCAGTTGGGCAGGGCCTCGCAGGTCATGGGCACGCAGCCGGGGCCGTTGGGGAACTTGATGCACTCGAGCAGAGGCTTCCGAGAGCAACAGGAGTTCGAGCGGGGCTTCGGCTGGCATGGCTGGACGCAGGCCTGCGTGCAGAAAAAGAAATCAAAGGGATTTTGACCGTCCTCGAAAACAGGACCTCAGCGGGCTGATTGTTGAAGATGATAGACAAAGCGATAGACAAAGAGGACGTAACGAGTGCGGAGCGATCCTGATTGGTTGGTCCGATTGGTTGAAACAGGTGGTCGTTATAGACTAAGGGTAAAATGATGGACTAACTATAGGTCTCTCATAGGTTGTCGTTAGTTTGTGTATTACTTACCTCCTTTGTCCATTCCAGCCACCCGCATTCACCAATAGGATCGCTTTATTTCTCTTTTATTTCCTTTGTCTTTTGTTCATAAATTTTAATAATCAGTCGAAAAAAAATTTCGGTGGGCTGATGTTGGAATTGATAAACAAAGCGATAGACAAAGATGACATGATGAGTATGGAGCAATCCTATCGATTATTTTGGGTGGTTCTTATAGACTAAGGGGGTAAATGATGGACTAATTGAAGGGTCGCTCGTGCGTTGCCGTTAGTTAGTCTGGTACCTTTCTTTTTCGTCCATTGCAACCACCCGCTCCCACCAATAGGATCCCTCCGTATCCTTTTTGTCCTTTTTGTTCATAGCTCTGTCTGTCAATTTCGATTATCAGCCCGCTGGGGCTCTTCAAGTATTAAATGAGCTATACCAAAGGGGGAGGGGCTGAGTTTTCCTGAGGGGATCTTATGAGAGGAAGACGGGAGGGAGGTCAAACCCCGTCTCACGTTATTAGAATCACTGATTAATTACACCAAGGAAACATGGTATGCACTATACCGCGGTGAATGACGTCATGAGCAGTGTGCCTTAATGAGCGATATCTCCGTCAATATTGAACGTAAGAACTTAACGCTTGAACTGATCTTCTTATGCTGATGCTATCATTTTTGCTGATCTACAATCTGAAATCATCAAATCACGATTTTATAACTACCACAACTGCGAGCTGATTGTCAAATTTGATAGACAAAGCTCTAGACAAAGAAAAAGCGGGTGGTCGCAATCGACGAAGGGGGTAACTAATAGACTAACTAACGGCAACCTACGAGGGGCCAAATAGTAACCATTAGGATCGCTCCATATTCCTTAAGTCATCTTTGACTATAGCCTTGTCTATCAATTTCAACAATCAGCCCGCTGACCCACACGGACACAAAAACTTCGTGCGTCGGACCCGAAGTTGAGGTCATATGGATCTCTGAAGTTTTCGGATCACGTATCTAAAAACTTGAGGTCCAGCTTCCGAAGTTCGGGTCAGACAGCTGAAGTACTTCGATGTATAGCGAAGTGCCTGGATGTCTGACTCGAACCTCGGCAGCTCGACCTCAAGTTTCCGGATGCGTGATCAGAAAACTTCAGAGATCCACATGACCTCAACTTTGGGTCCCATGCACGAAGTTTTTTTCCCCGTACATGCAATATGGTTTTCTGGTATGGTGATATGCCTCACCAACCGTATCACCTGGTTCATGATCAGGACTCCCTAAATTTAGTTCAAGTACGATTTTCGGAACCATACCTGCGACGGGCAGGCTTGGAGCTGGGGCTGCTGGCACGACGCCCTGCGCGGCTGACAGCGACAGCAGTTCTGTCCGGCCCCGTCCTGCGGGATGTAGCAGACGATGCACTCTTCCTTCCGCTTGCATTGCGTTTGTTGCGGACAGCATCTGGTCTGTTGTTGCCGTTGGTTGTTGCAGGTGGTCTGTTGTTGCCGTTGCTTGTTGCATGAGCACGCGCCGCCGGCTATGCGCGCGCACGCCGCTCGCGGATACTCCGGCTCCTGCAGCCCCTGGCAGAAGTCGACCGAGTCGGTCTGCGGGACCCCGAAGCAGCCGCAGGTCAGGGCTCGCCCGCCTCCGCACATCCCTTGACACCGGTGCGGTTGCGACATTCAGGATTGTCTGTCGCCTCACTCGTCCTGTATCAACGTCGTTTCCATGGTCGACCTGTGTGACTTTTTAGGTTGGAAGGGAGCTTCACCATCGCCTGCTCCTACTGCAGCGATTACACCCTGGAATTTTGAAAAAAAGTTGATTAATTGGACGGAGTTAAATAGAAAGGAACCAAGCCACATCGGGATCGAACCGAGAAAAAGAGGTTTAAAGTTCGGCTCCTGCATAAGACTCAATGTAAACGATAAACTTCAAGTTCAATTTCTGCAAAATTTGCTCCAACAAAAACTTTGAATTTTTGGCGATAGATAGTAGAGCAGTGGTTGAGTTCAAAACCACTCATAATTCAATTTTTTCCAAAATGTGGGTTGGTTCTTTTCTGCTTAACTTAGTCCAATTATGAAACGCCAGTGACACTGGAGAAAAAACAAAACAAAAAACACATTGGATCTAGAGTTCAGACTCTTAAAAACATCGAAAAGAAAAAATACTCTTGATTCAATCGGATTTTTGCTTCAATCAAGAACCAAGCCTCTTAATTTGAGCGGATTTCTTTTTGATTTAAGCTTAAATCTGATTGAATCAAGAGTCCGTTTTCTTGTCAATGTTTTCAAGAGTCTGGACTCTAGATCCAATGTGTTTTTTTT